TGCCCGCTCAGGCGGCCCTAGGCCTTGGAGAGGTCTGTTCCCTCTGTCTAGAAGGCCCTCCAGCCCGGCTCCTTCTGCGACTTGACATCATTTCACCTTCAGCTCTCCAGTTACACTTGAGATGACAGAGCCCCGGACCCTCTCGTGGTCATCGGTTTCATGCTCTGGTAACATCCAGAAGCCAAGGACTTTCCTTCGCTGTGTTAATCACAAGTGGAGTGACCTGTCCATTCCTGTGATGGTTTCCTGTTAGTCCCCTACGCTCAGCCGTGAGCTCCAGGGGCAAGGATTGCTTCTTATCCATGTCTCTACCTCCGTGTGGTCGGAAGGGTGGGTGCCTGCTCCATTGCCTGTTGTTCTCTAGTGTTGGTCAGCTCTCCGTCACTGTGACACAACACCTGAGAAATATCAACTTAAAAGGAGGAAAGGTGTATTTTGGCTCATGGCTTCAGAGGGTTCAGTCCATAGCCACTTGGCTGTCACTCTGGACCCGTGGTGTGGCAGCACACCATGGCCAGAGCATAGTAATTGCTCATGGTGAGCAGTTTTGAAGCAAGGAGAGAGAGAAGAAGGGACTGGGGTCCCAGTGTCCCCTTCATATTCCCAGTGACCTTACTCTTCTCACACAGCTCCACCTGTTAGCGCAATTCCACACCCTCCCAGGGGTGCCACATGCTCCCAAGTGCTCAACACATGGCCTTCAGGGGACATCTCAGGCACAGTTATAACATGGAACCACAGATCCTAAAGTGACTTGCTCCTTATCATCTCGTCTTTCTGATAAGGACAGGCCAGTGAGCAAGGCCACGAGCCTGCGTCAGCACTAAAGCTGCAGGGACCGGGGTGGCCTCTCAGACACCCCAGCCCTTGCTGCTCCTCCCCGCTGCCTGCAGAACAGGCCAGCATCACTTCCTTCCAGGACCCAGCCCTCACGGCTGCTCAGGACATTGTCCCACCTGAGCGGCACTTTGCTTTGAATCCACGGCCCTGAGAGATAATTGGCGGGTTGGTCCCAGGCACCCCCAACCCTGGCACCCAGGCAGTGGGTTAAAGTCCAAATCCTTCCTCCCTGCAAGGCTCTCTCAAGAGGGCCCTGGGGGTGGGGGGGCTAATCAGTATCCCCCAGTGACCAGCCGGGAAATGGGACCCCCGGGGTGCCTGGCTCCTGTCTGATGCTTCTGTCCACTGTGGCTACCCGGAGAGGGGACAGTAGAATCCTGCAGTGACGAAAAGCTAAGCCGACCTTTTTATTTAAAGGGAACGGAAGAGAAATCAGAGCCAGGAAGATGCAGGAGGGCAAAGGTTGTCACATGAGTGGCCGGAGGAGGGTGTGTCTTCCACTTGCTCTGAGTCTCAGTAGCCCAGCACCTGGGGACAGGTGGACTCCCAGGGAGACTCTGGGGCTGGTAAAGAGGCGCACGGCACAGCTGGGCCTCGGATCTCATAAATATTAACAGCCGTGATTAACCAGCCACGGCAGGCCGCGGTGCCTGGTGGGAAGCTCTTTTGCTCGGTTATTGAGTAACCAGGAGGATTGTTGGGCCCAGCAACGTCCCCAGGTGAAGTGTGGTGCTCTGGCCGGGTGACAGCGAGGCAGGCAGGGGAGGAGGGAGCCGTCAGCTCTACTGAGCAGGTTGTTAACTGAGCACTTACTGTACGCCAGGCGTGGCACGAGGGGCTCAGGGTGTTTTGAGGAACAAGATGCTCTGGTCAGTCTGAGAATATGTCAGAAATCCCTTCTCCCTTCTGAAGTTGCCCCAAGTGGTGTCAGAGAAGGATGTGGAAGAGACGGACCCAGCCGCCAGCCAAAGTCTTCATTGAAACTGCTGCCCGTTGGGGTCCTCAGGTGTGGACCGCAAGGAAGACAGGGAGCGAGCTCCCCGTGGCAAGGCACTCAGGGGACATTGCTCGTGTTTGTCACCAAGGCTGGCAGTCGGCAGAGACGCAGGACAGCTGCAGGGGAGCCCTGCCGGAGGCTGTTGGGACATGCCTTGGGACTGGCTTGGAGCACACGGTGGGCTTCCTCGGTTGGCTTTAGGGTGGAAGCAGAGAGGAGGAGCCGGGGCAGGTGTCATGGATTCGCCCCGTCCTGCTGGTTGGGCTGACTGCTCCGGAGTCCCTGGGCCTCCCCGGCTTGCTGCTCCCGACGCAGCCTGGATTCCTGGGCTGGTCCCAGTGTGTGGCAGCCGGCTGCTCCCGGATGTGGGCCAGAGCTCATTTTGTGTGTGGCGTGGCCATCGTCCACGTGGCTCTCGTGGGGCCGCCATCACCCACCGCGTGGCCAGAGAGAGCAGAGACTCATGCGGTCATGGCTTTGGAGACTCGGGGTCCAAGATCAAGGTGTCGGCAGGCCCCACTCTCTGCTCACGTCTGGTGCTGACCGCCGGCTGCTGCGCCTGGCTTCAGTGGGTGGCTCCCTCTGTCTTCATTGTCACGCCAGTGTCTTCCTCCTGTGCACCCGTGACATCACCTGGCCTTCTCCACGCGTGTCTGTGACCCTTCTCATGAGGATGCCGGCCATTGATGAAGGGCCACCGTGAGCCCTTACGACTTCATCCTAGCTTGGCCACATGTCGGCTGGGGAGCCCTGTGCTGGACCCTCCTTCCTGGACATGGCAGTGCGTGGGGCCTAGAGACGGTGTCTGGGTCGCGCATGGATTCACTCTGCATAGCCAGAACGGGGTGAGCTCCTGCGGGGACTTGGCCCAATTCATCTTGCAGACGGGAGCCCCCTCCATCCTTGCCCTCGTTATAAAGCCGAGGAGCCCCTCCCCTGACGGGGCCGCCCAGTCTCAGACTTTCTGTCCTCTGTGAATTCCCCAGTTCCAGCTTTGGAAATGGACTAGGCCATCCGCAGAGACCTGGCTTCCAAGGAAGGTTCCGTTCCAGGGGCCAGGACTTGAAGGTCCCACTCAGGCCCCCTGGGTTAGGACTTGACCGTCCCATTCTCAGGCACCGGGGGCCAGGACTGGAGTGGATCAGTTTGGAGACAGCCAGCCCCTGTCACGGGGTTGGGGGGAGATATAACCGAGCCCACGGAGCTTGTTCTGACGGGTCTCCGGGGCGCTGGAAGGAGCAGGCAGGCCACGGTCCAGGAACGGTCACTCCAGGGTGGTTCCCAGGGGAAAGAGAATTGCTTTTTGTGACAATATGATGTTGTGGGGAGGAGAGGGGAGGGGCACTTAGGGGCAGGGTCTGCACTGAGGGGGTGGGAGGAGCAGGGGGAGGACCCAGGAGGGCAGTGGGCCGGTGCGGTGGGGGGACTGTCATTTCCTCAGCGTGTCCCAGGGGCCGTGGCTAGAAATGGTGGTAGGTGCTGAGGGCTGGAGAGTGTCCAGGACCTTCTGCAGACGCCCAAATCACAGGTGCTGCAGCCCCGTATATAAAATGACATGGCCCACACCTCCTGTCTACTTCCGATAGCAGCTCGATGGCTAACAATACCTGATGTAAGGGCCACAGGAATGGTGGTCATGTTGTTTTGTTTGGGAATAATGAGCCAAAACAAATCTGTACGTGTTCAGTGCAGATGCACTTATTTAAATATATATATGTATATTCCATCCAGAGTTGTCTGGATCCGAGGTTGCAGAGCCCACAGATACTGAGGGCCCATGGTGAGCTTCCTGTGGTCCCCAACCCTCGGGGTCTGCTCCCTTGTGCCTGTGGCTGCAGGTCCGAGGCCGGGGCTGGCTGGGCGGACTCCTTCCTGCTCGAGGCTCTGGGGAAGACTGTGCCCTGCGTTCCCCCCGGGTGCTAGCCCTGACCTGCCGTCCCGGGCGAGTCCAGGCTGGAACCTGACTCCCTGCAGCCTCTGGGCGCTGTGCCCACACGTCACACCCGTGGTCTCCGCGACTGTGCCCAAAATTTCCGCTTCTTCTGAAGACGCCCTTCCGACGGCAGGAAGGTGCACCCTAGCGAGCTGATCTTTGTCACTTCTGCGACAACCCTATTTCCACATGAAATCAGGTATGGGGTGAGAACGTCAGGGTGTCCTTTGGTGGCCACAGTGTGACCCTGACGCCGGGGATGCAGGCAACGACCCACGGCTGTGAGTCCTGCGTGGGCCGGGAAAGCCGGGGAGCCGCGGGGCTGAGTCCTGCTGGATTGAAAGCCACAGAGGCGTCGGAGAGCAGCTGACCTCAGGGTTCAGGCCGCCCGGGTGAGCGGGCATGGACGGGGCACAGGGGTTCCCGGAGGTGGGTGGCGCTGCCCAGGCCAGAGCTCGGCACCTCTGTGAAGTTCTGTCGGGTTCAGCCTGGACGGAGCACGAAGAACACGGGAACAGGACGAGATGGGAACCGGGGGAGGAGAAATGGGGCTGTGCCTGCTGGGACCTCCCAGTCACAGACACCGAGGGTGGGGGGGAGAGGGAGGCACTTGGGGACACTTGTGGGACATTTTCCTTATGCTCCAGTGTCCGAGTCACCTTCCTATGTGCATCACGCACTGCGAAGCCTGCAGACCTGTAGCCAATGGCCTGGCGCACAGGGAAGAGCTGGGGTGAGTGACAGGACCTTCCTGTAGTGAGCTGGGGGACACGGCTGCCCACCGGCCGTGCGGCACCGAGCACCCGGCACCTCGGGGGAGACACGGGGCTCAGACCACCCTTCAAATAAACATTTAACTACAAACTCAGACAGTAGCACATCAGGAAGGACAGAGTAGTAGGGTTTCTTCCCTTTTAAGATGCCACAGTCACGGGGGTCCCAACACATCAGTTCCAACATATTTCTCTCTTGTAAATGAAACTCAGAAACAGCGAGAAGGGTGGCTTCACAGCCATCAGGAGCCCAGGAGCCATGGGGGGTCTGGGCAGGGCTGGGGGTGCCTGGTGGGTGGGACATGGGTGCTTTGAGCACCTGCTCTGCGTGGGTGGCTTCAGGCCCTGGGACCCAGGGGGTGGGGACCCCCGGCTGCGGAACCTGGTTTCCTGGGAGGACAGCCACATCCTGACTTCTGCTGAGCCCTGTGCAGGAAACGGAGGGGGTGAGAGGAGGGTGAGTGGCAGGACCCACTGGGGGTGGCAGCAGTATGAAGCAGGGGCCACCAGCACCCCAGGCAGATGGCCGTGTTGAGGGTCTGCCAAGAATGCGTTACTCCCTGGAGGGAAGTCAGGGCGTGAGACGAGGCCAGGCCGGGGTTAGATCACTAGAGGCCTTGTGAATCAGGCTAAGGAGGTGAGTGTGGAGGGGCCGGGGGAACGTCAATTGAGGCAATAACGTGACACAGGTTGAGCTCTAGAGCCTCAGTGCCGGCGGCCTCCCTCAGGAAGGCAGAAGGAGGCAGGGCTGCAGTTACTCAAACAGGAGGCTGCTTTCCTTGCACGTGAACTTCCGCCTGTTGGGATCCCAACGAGTTCTAGCGCTGTGGGCGGATGCCTACTCGGCCTACTTCTGCTCCTTGTCAAATACACGGGGTCCGGTCGACTGCCCCTCATCCAAAAAGCAGAGATCCAGGGAGCTCTGAAAACGTGACCCTTTTTTTCCCGGTCGGCCATTCGACGGCGAGAGCTGAACTCAGCCTGGCTTTTCCGGTCCCCAGAGCTGGCTTCATCCGGCAGGAAGTGGCCTGGAATCGCCTCCGTCCACTCGGCGTGAAGAGCGACACGTTTTGCTCCGAGGTCTGGATGTCAGATAGGAAGTGGCAGGCGGTATAGGTTGGGTCTCACCTGACACCTGAAAGATTCCAAGGTGTAGCCTCGCGTGGCCCAGGAGTTCTAGATAAGGGACGTGGCTGTGCGTGTGGCCCAAGAGGCCCTGGGTTCAGGGTAGAGCGTCCTGGGCTGGGGCTGCGTTTGCAGATCACTGGAGCAGGTCCAGGGAAGAGCTGCTACGGGCCACGGGCGGTGAACTCAGCCTGGACCCGCAGGGGCCCACGGGAGCTGGACGGCACGTTCCTCTCTCCCTGGTGGTAAATCCAGAGGGGTTCATGCGGCTGACTTAGGGTTACCAGGACCCAGCCCTCCTCCCCACAGGTGGCGGTGGTGATGCATCCTACACAGGCTTTAGGTGGTGTCCACGGCCTTCCTGAAGATGTCCTCTTTAGTTCCTGAACCAGCCACAGGGGAGGGACGTTGGCAGTGCCGACCTACAGCCAGGAGTCCAAGCTTGGAGAAGGGAGGCGACCCGTTCACGGTCTCTTAGGTGACACTGAGACACAGGGCCCCGGGCCAGATCTGGTTTTCAATGACCTTCTTCGTAAAAGGCTGATAAACTTTAAAAGGATCTGCAGCAAAGAGCCAGCAGAATAAATAGGACCCCAACCCATTCCAACTCCCGGGCTACGGCCAAGGGGCAAGCTCAGGTGGGATTCTGAGGCTGTCTACCTGGGCTTGGGAATCCATCCACCACGACTACCAAGGTGTAAGGCCGTGGCATGGTAGCTACGTGGATCACCGTCCATTCACAAGGGTTGACTTTTCTCCCTTCATTTATCGGAGAACCTATTCAGGCCAGACAGAGTGGTGCACACCTGTCATCCCAGTCATTTGGGAGGCTGAGGCAGGAGGATCACAAGTTCAAGGCCAGCCTGGGCAACGTAGCAAGATCCCACATTCAAATAAAATAAAAAGATCTGGGCACGTAGCTCATCGGTGAAGTGCCTCAGGCTCAACCCTCAGTACCCCCCAAAATTACTAGATGCACACGGGGTGCCAGCAATGCTGTGGATAGCTCCAGGAAGCCTCAGTCCCTGTCCTTGGGGCAGTCAGCAGGCCCCTATGCTGCCCCAACTGTATACAGAAAGGGCTGTGGGATCTGGCACGCTGCGGAACCACAGCCCAGAGAGGCGAACTGGTCGCCATGCCCCCCACACAGCCCGGGCCGTGGAGGAGACTCGTCCCAATCCCACTTTGCTGACAAGAGCCAGTGGGGAAGGGCGTGCCCCAGAATCATGCAGGCCTGTGTCCACGGCTGATGAATTGGGGGACACTGGGGACGGGGCTTAGCTTATCTAAGCTCCAGGTTCTCCGTCAGCTAAAGAAAGATAAATGAAAGGAAATAGTAGTGATTGGCTCAGAAGATAGTCGCGAGAGTTACAGGTGCCGACGGGGTGACGGCCACTACGGGCTGAGGGTTTTGCATGCCCTGCCTTAGACCTTCATGGGTGGGACCCACTGAGGCAGCGCTGGTGAAGACGCACACCTGGGGTGCCAGGCCCGGCTGGCTCATGGCTCAGATGGCTGAGGTCCTGCCGCTGCTGCCAGGGCTGCTCACACTGTCCTGAGGAGCTGCCCTGGGGCTGGAGTCTGACCCACGGCTCCAGTCTCCGCCACCGGCACTCTGGGATTGGGGACAAGTCACTTGACTTCCCCAGGGACTCAATTTCCTCTGTATAAAGAAAAGTTTTGATTCGGGAATGGTGGCGTACGCCTGTCATCCAAGGGACTCGGGAGGCTGAGGCAGGAGGATCGCGAGTTCAAAGCCAGCCTCAGCAAAAGCGAGGTCCCAAGGAACTCAGGAAAACCCTGTCTCTAAATAAAATACAACATAGGGCTGGGGATGAGGCTCAGTGGTCAAGAGCCCCTGAATTTAATCCCTGGTACCAAAAAAAAAAAAAAAAGAAAAGAAAAGTTTTGATTAGATGAAAATTAAAATGGTGGAGTCTTTTTGAAAAACACTACGCCTGGGTTCCTTTCCCTACAGGTTCTGATTGAGTAGGGCTGGAGCTGGGCTGGGAACCTGTCCCACCCCTTACGGCCTCCCCTGACCCTTGCCCACACCCTCCCCAACAGCAACGCCCTAACTGCCTTTTCTGCAGGTGCCCCTCCTTCCTGTGAGACCCCGTCCCTCTATTAATTCTACCCTGAGGCACCAGTGCAGCGTCATCTGCAGCAGGAAGGAATCATAATTCCTCCGAGTCACACACAAGCAGGTTCTGTGCAGGTGGAGTGCCCCGTGGGGTCTCTGATCTGTCAGGTTTCAGCCTCCTGGGGACGAGCCACCTTGGAAGGTGTTTTCAGACCCCATCGGCTGCCTCTTCCACGTGCGGAGCGTCCCAGCCGACAGGTTTGAGTCAGCTTCCACCTGGTGGCAGGGACGCTCACCTGGACCTCAGCCTGGCGAACTGAAGCCGGGTCTTAGCATTGGGGTGGCGTTGCCACGGAAACCGCCGGGCACATTCAGGAAGTGATTCGGACCCCGAGATCTGCCTCTGGCAACAGTCCGAGCCATCGAGTGGACGCCCAGCCAAGAGTTCCACCGGGGCATCCTCTTCCTCAAGGATGGATATGGCCACCCCAGGATTGAAAAGATGATCACGGCTCCAACCCAGAGGAGCCTCCCCTCCCCTGATTCCCTCCAAGGAAACCTCTCCCCATATTGACCCCACGGAGTCAACGCCTTTATTGGAGCCTTACCCTAACTCAAACTTCTAATTACAGAAGCTTCTCGCTCTTTGAAGGTTGGGTTCACTTTTGGGAGTTTAAGATCAAAAGCCTCTATTAACCACTCCTTGGGCATCTTTCCGAAGGAGACACATTGTGGAGACTGGCCAGTTGGAGGAGCCACGGGTTGGCCCAGGGTGTGCCCAGGGCCAGATCCGCTCCCAAAGGCCTGGGACCATGTGCAGGTCAGTGCCTGTCTCAGGGGGTAAAGGCTGTGCCCCACCCTGACGCGGGGGTCTGCAGCGTTTCTCCATGAATTCTGAGAAGCGATTTCATCCTCCGGATGCTATCACAGCCCTGAGTGGAGAACTTGGCTGGGGAAACGCCGTTCAAGTTTGGAGTAGCAGAAATTGGCCGGGGATCACAGCGTTTGCTGCTTAAAGATGCGTCACCAGGGGCACACGGCCGGGTACTTGGAGAGTCGGTGCCAGGCAATGTTTTCCTCGTTTGCTTCTACACGAAAGCGTTTTCTGCCGAGGCAGGCGACTTACATTATTCTAGTTTTCAAAGCAATCCCTTCAGAGACCCGGCTGCTAGCACCTAACCATCTGCAGAGACCAGGCTGGTCCCCAGCCATCCCCCTGTGCAGTGACCGCCAGAGAAAGAGGTCACAGATACAGATGCCTGCACATCCACACTTGGGTAGGGAACTGAGCTGGACTCCAGCTGCAGAGTCATCTAGGTGGCAGGAGAAAGGCGCACCTATCAGCCACCAGCTCCCTCCCACCCTCTTCCTCTGGGTCTGCTATTCTGCAATGCCCTGTGGTCACCACTGGTCACTTGGTACGCTGAACTACAGAGCCCGGGTGCCCAGCCCTGCAGCCCTGCAGCCCAGGAGGCAGTTAGAGACTCGTACTGTGAAGCTTGGGCACAGAATTCTTCATGGCTGAGATGACCTGAGAAGGACCGGGAGGCAGGGATGCAGGAGACAGGCCCAGGAGGAGGTGGACCTGCAGGCCTCTGCCTGCTCAAGGCAGATGGATCGTAGCAGGAGGGCACCCAGTCCCGCTTCCCGGGGCCACCACACCCAGAGGTCCTGATGCAGTAGCCCAGAGAGGTCTGGAAACACTGACCCCCTAATGGACCTTCTTTCCCCGTGATTTGGGCCATGAGTGACAGGAAACTGGCTTTAGACCTTCCACCTTGTCCCCTGGCTCTGTGCTGAATTTAGAAGTGACGAGTGTATGTGTGTGACCTGAAGCTTTTGATGTCTGCCTTTCAGGCCAGCCTGGTGACGGAACTGGTTCCAGACCCACGTCGCCTGGCGTTTCCGCCACACCTCGTCCTGCTCCCACACATGCGGTCCTCCGGCTCATCACGAGGGTCGTGCTCCACTGGTCAGTAACTGCGATGCATCTGAAGGGACCGGGGAGGTGCACGTAGGTCTCAGGTGTGGAGAATAATAGGACAAGAATGTGACTCAGAGAGCAGCAAGGATCGCGGACACGGAGACTTCCTGGGAAAATGTGTCAGTCCCTGAGCTCAGGCTTCAAGGAATCCATCAACAGCCCTTGAAAAACTGTACCCCCCGTAAAAGTGTCACAGTGTCACAATGAAGGTGCTGCTGGCTGGGGGTGGAATAGATGGCCCATTAATACTCATTGAAGGGCTTATTGATTGGAGTGTCAGGGTAATTAGCCCCAGTGATCTCGGATCAATGCAGCACAGGAAAGGGCAGGAGCCAGTGTCTCCAGAGCAGGGGTGAGGAGCTGTCCCCAGGACCCCTGCCTCACCCTGTAGCCCCAAAGCACCCTGCGTTCCTTGGGGGCTCGGTTTCCTCACCTGTAAAATGAGACGAGAGCAGGTCAGTGCTTCTCTCAGGGGTTTCCAACAGACCTTGGCTCTTTCAGTGAGTATCTATTTTTTCTAGCAAAAGTGTCAAATGATCAGACTTGGGTCACGGTGATTTTAAGCAAATTATGTAGGGCTTCTAAGAGCTTTGGGTGTGCTAGATATTAGGAGTTTTTAAGAAGAAGGTCATCCAGCAGCTCAGGAGGCTGGGGCAGGAGGATGGCAAGTTCAAAGCCAGCCTCAGCAAAAGCGAGGTGCTAAGCAACTCAGTGAGACCCTGTCTCTAAATAAAATATATAAAAAGGCTGGGGATGGGGCTCAATGGCTGAGTGCCCCTGAGTTCAATCCCCTGTAGCAAAAAAAAAAAAAAGACATAAACACTTGGAACACATAAAAACACACATTTTTTTTTTTTTTAAAAAAGGACATAAGACACACTTGTCCTCCTGGTCCACATTAGTGAGCACCAAATACATGACAGGCTCTATACTAGTTTCTGAGGACGTGGCAGTAAAAAGGCCCAAGTCCCTTTGTCAAAATATTTGCACTCTAGTGAGGGAATACGAATAGAGAGGCTGTCCATCAAGGTAATGTGGCAATAGGCTAAATCCTGGGCACGGAAAAAGAAAGCCACCCGTGCAGCAGGAAGGGGTTCTGTTTCACACGAAGACGTCAATTTCCTCTCTGCTAAGGGGACGTTGGAACAGAGACCTCAAGGAAGCCACCGAGCAGGTGATCTGGAGGGAGGCTGAGGTGGTGCATGGGCCCTGAGCTAGCAGCTGGTTTGTTCTGGTCCTGAAACACCAAAGAGGCCGATACAGGGGGTGCAGGTGCAGCCGTGAGGTGACTGAGAACCCAGAGGGCAGGGTCGTGTCCCGGCTGGGCGGGGAGGCCTGCTCTTCCTGACCGCTGAGCTCCAGAGTTTGCACAGTGAGCTGAACAGCAGGCCTGACGGACAGACGGGCGAGCTGCTCCCCCAGCTCAGGCTGTCGCGCGGGGAGCTGGGTTTTCAAACCGCTTTCCCTGGGATGAGGCAATTCCTGGGACCCGTGCCCACTGGGGCAGAAGGTTCCTAAGAGCCGTGCTAACGAAACGACAGGGTGACCGGGTGGAATGCTCTCCACTCCGCAGTGCACAAAGCGAAACCTGGGAATCACACAGTTGTGTCGTTCTTCTCCTTTTTTTTTTTTTTAATTCATACCAGATTTTCATTTGTTATTGAGTTCTCTAAATCCAAAGGAATACTGGGCTGTGTCCACCACCCCTCCGTTCGCCGGCTGCATGTATCAGGCAATTATCTATTTGACCTTTCCAGATGTTGGCGTGCTCACCTGTAAGATGGTGATACCCGCTGTTCTGCCATGGTGGCCAGCGTGAGGGTCACCTGAGGGGGTGACTCGAGGGCTTAGCTCAGTGCCAGATGGAGGAGGTGCTCTGGAAATGTCCCTGCTGTGACTAGGAAGGTTTAAAAGCTGGGAGGAGGATCCTGAGTGGCCAAAGAACCCCAGTTACACACAGAGAAGGACGACACGGACCCAGCACCCGCTGTCCCCAAGGCGTGGTGGCTGATCCCCGGCTGCTCTGCATGTTCTGCATCCCCGGCTGCCGTCCTCCACAGCGTCTGTCCGTGCTCTCACACAGGGAGAGCCGTGTCCCTTGTCAAGTTCCACGTCACCTAACTTATGCGGCTGCTTCCCCAGGAGAGCGAGCTCAGGACTCAGCCCGTCTTCCCACAGCACTGTGGAGGAGAAACTGTGCTACAGGGAACGGCACTGAGTCACCTCTCTGCCCTGAAGACGGCCAGCCGGGGCACGGGGCTAGGGGAAGGCAGCAGTAAGCCAGTCCTGGGAAGTGAGGCTCTGCTTGACCACTCCCCTCTAGAGCAACCCTGTCCTGAAACCCACCCCTCCCTGTGGATGTCTCAGGTTCCAGAACCAACCAACGGCTCGATGTTCTAGCAATTCTTGTTACCATCTAGGAGAGGTCCACTCAGCCAATCGAAGAACAGGACACAGAGACAGCAAGCAAGCAGCAGACTTACTGCAGATGAAACAGAGACAGACTTCTCCAAAGAGAAGAGCCCAGAGCTAGGAATCAAGTGGGATTCTGTGTTGGAATTTTCTCCTTTCCTACCTCCTCCCTGTCCATGGTCTTCTCACTATGACTGATCGGTGGCCCCTCTGTCCACACAGCTGTCCTGGTTTTTCTATTGGATCCCCGGCTTAGGAGCACAAGCATGGGAGTGTCTGTCTGGGTCCCCACCTGTGTCAACGGGCACTTTCGTCAAGCAGGAAGCTGACCTCACTGGAAGACCCTCTCACGCTCCTTGTGCTGACCCTGTCCTGTCCTCCTCACTCGCCATCTTGCCCTGGCCACCCAAGCCCTCCTGCATCTCCCCCATGCTGAGTTGGATTTTCCCTTTATATTACAGCCTGAAGCATCCAGATACCAATCAGATAACTTACCCCATCAGATCGCCATGACAACCCTGCTTTAAGACGCGTCTTCAATGCATTTCGCCTGTGGAGGAACATGCGGAGACCATGGCTGGCCCACTTTGGGGCTATTTAGGGACCCCTTTTTTTAGTAGAGTGGATTGGGGGGGGGCGGGTCACAGGTCTGTGTTCCTGCCTTGATCTAGGGGCTCTGTTTCCTCCTCTATAAAATGGATATAGTTGTTTAAAAAGAATTGAAGGGCAGGACACAGAGTCAGCAAGCAAGCGGCAGATTTACTGCACAAGCAATAGAGGCAGACTTCTGTTCTCTGGAGCTCAACACCAGAGCTCAATCAACTTCTTGGCGGGAAGCTCTTTGCATCTGTAAAGGGCCGTGCAGCATTTACGGTTCCTACACCAGGGTTAGTCCTCGTGAAAGTTGTAGGTTGCTGGCCCTATCAGCCCAGCTCAGCTTATTCTTTGATGCAGGCGAACACCCTGATTTCTGGCTTATACTGATATTTTGCTGAGCAAACCCATCTTTTATGGCCAGTAAAGATCTGGTGTGGTTTGGACGTGAGGGGTCCCCAACGGCTCCTGTGTTCATGCAGGAATGTTCAGACGAGCGATGAATGCACTGGGAGAGCTGGAACCTGCTAAGTCCATCCTCGTTGGAATGGTCCGACGGGGTGGTAACTTTAGAAAGGTGGGGTGAGGGTGGCTGGAGGAGGGGGGTCACTGGGGGCTGCCCAGAAGGGGTCATCTTCCCCTCTGGCTTCCTGGCTGCACCCAGGTGAGCAGTACCTGCCGCCCACCATGTCCTTTTGCCATGATGCTGCTTCCCCTGGGGCCCAGAGCCATGGACTCAGCCAACCGTGGACTAACCCTCTAAATTCGTAAGCCAGAATAAGATTTCTCTACGCTGTTCTTGTCGGGCATTTGGGTCACAATGGTGCAAAACGGACGAACACAGAAATTGGTACTAAGAAGTGGAGTCCCTACTGTGACTAACCTGATCATGTGGTTCAGAAGCCTTTGGAGCTGATTTGTGAAAGGGATTTGAAAAAAAAAAAATCGTGGATACAGGCTGGTGAAGTCTGAGAACATTGTACGTAGAGTCTAATGGGTAATTCTGGGGGGAGCTCAGAAGACCAGAAGGCGGACAGTAAAGACTGTGCTCCTGCAGTTTCAGCGGGAAGGCGGCCTCTGTTGGGAACTGGACTAGAGGCCCTTCATGTTCTATTCTAGCAAAGAGCTTGTCTAAAATTTTGTCAGCGTCCTGAGATGTTATGTGAGGCTGAATTTAAAGGTGACGCAGTAGTTGGTCCGGGGGAAGAAATTCCAAGGCAGCCCAGCGTTAAGTCACGGGGTGTGGATTTTGTGGACACCTTTTAGCCAGGTTCACCGTGAGGATCAGGAACAGAGTGAAGAGCTGACAGATTTTAAAAATGGGGCGGTTTGGCCAGTCAAAGTCTCTATACAATTAGGGCCAAGGAAGCTGTGGTAGTGAAAGAGCTTGTAGCCACTAAAGAGATACTAAGTACTTTGCACAGAGACAATTAAAAAACAAAACGACTGGAGGGCATCTCCGGAGTTTGTGTGATCACACCCACTTCAGACTCAAGGACGCATTTTGCATTGTGAGATGGACAAGGGTTTGCGGGGGACCAGGGGTGAATTGTTCTGATTTGGGTATGAGGAGTCCCTCAAAGCTCCTGAGTTAACGTAGGCATGTTCAGAGGTGAAGTAGTTGGACTGCAAGAGCGTAACCCACTCAGTCCATTCCAGCTTGAATGGACTGACGGGGAGTAACTGTAGGCAGGTGGGGGTGATCGGAGGGTGGGTCACTGGAGGCTGCCCTGGAGGGGTTCATCTTCCCTCTGGCCACTTCTTCCTCTCTCGGTTTCCTGTCCACTACAGGGTGGGCTGGGCTCCTCCTCCATGTCCTTCCACCATATTGTTCTGCCTCACGTTGGGTCCAGAGCAAGGGACTTTGCCGACCATTGACTAAACCTCTACCTCCATAAATGCATGAGCCAAAATAAACTTTCCCTCCTCTAAGTTGTTCTCATCAAGGATTTTGGTCGCAGTGATGCAAAGCTGAACGCAAG